AGTTCAATGTCCCACAATACATACTTAATAAATCAATGCTCATTTACAATAGACCGCTTAATTTTTTAAGTGATTTGTTATAAAATCACATTGCATTAACTACCGTAAAAGAGATACTTAAAAAGCGACTAAAGTGTGATGATAATAATCAGTAGTGACTTTCTTGTCATAAACTCTTCGTATATAAAAAAGATGAATATAAATAATATTGAGTAGATTACTATCAAGTAGCTGTATAAACAGCACATAACATGTTATGGAGAAAAAAAATGTCATCTCACATCATTCGGTCAAGAGAAATGGAATGAATAGAGACCGTAATAATAATAATAACAAGCCGTAATAACGACACATATTTATAATCATACATAATAAAATCATCAAGTTCCAAGGTTAAATTCGAAAGAAGAGAGGGAAAAGGAGAGATGAAAAAAAAAATTAAACGTACGAACAAGACTTGACGAAAATGTGGAAAAAGTCGAGCAATTCAAATACAGTTAAATGAATGTTTGCTTTTTACAGGCATAATTTGAATACTTTGTCACACAGACAATGTAATCACGTTTGGTACAAACGTAAAACTTAAAAGAATATTATTAAGTAACGATGATTTTAAATATGAAAGTCACATTGTGGGGAGTTACATCATGTCCAAAATAGTTTTGCTTACTCAAATTGTATGTAAATACATACAGCCATATATCCACTAATAATCACTGCGTCAGCAGAAATGTGTGAAATAATTCAAATGAAATGTAAATATCAAAAAAGAAGTATGGAGAAAAAATTTATCGCACTCAATTGCCACTTTACATATTTATATAGAGTTACTAATATTGTGTGGAATTCGTGACGGCAATCGATTACTTGAATATTGATCTTTACTTGCCATATATAGTCTGATATTTGTCTAGCTAAGAAACTTTCTTCATAAAGATCGATTCTACATGAAGATAGAAAATCTAATCTACACAAAGATTATTTCTATATAAAGATTCTGTCTACATAAAGATTCGATGTAGATGTCTACAATTCTACATTTTTTCCAGGTCTACATCAGAGAAGAATGTAGAATTGTAGATATCTACATCGAATCTTTATGTAGACAGATTCTTTATGTAGAAATAATCTTTGTGTAGTTTAAATTTTCTATCTTCATATAGAATCGATCTTTGAATCTTTGCCAGAATACAACACTGGTGTAATTTTTTTATAAATTTCAATGGAAGTTACCTCAAAAGGATAAACAAAGGATGTCTACCATATTCTTTCGTTGAATATCTGGCCACCCTCATTCAAATAATAATCGTTATGGAAGTACACTTCACGTTGAAGCGATGAGCAAAATGAATAATTTTATTTGATATTTTGACAAGAAAAGATGTTTCGGTTGCCGGAAATTTGAGTGTTTATGCAAATTCCTTCTAAACTTGTAATCATGTTAAATTAATAATTTATTTTCAAACGCGAAAGTCCATCACATTTCCTTTCTCTATAGACGAGATATACACAGAGAAATCTGAATCAAAATTCATATCGTGTCAATGAAGATGACGAAGAATTGTGTGAATTAAAATAGATTTACAGCATAAATTTTATTATCTAGAAGAGAAGAAATTGCCAAGTTAACTGCTAAAATGGAACGAATAGAAAACACCTTTGAGTCTCTCTTGATTCAAGTGACGTAGGCGATTCGCGCAATAGACTTTGTTTGCCAGCAGATCGAGTGAGACAGAAATAATTTAAAGTTTAAGTAATAAACATCAGATGTTTTCATTATTACTAATTCAGCACTAAAGCTATTCATGACAGCAATAGAATACATGCAGACAATGGAGAGTTTTTAAGTTTAAAATGTGACCAATATCCGCGTTTTATATTTGCCATGTTAATCAATATCCATTGGCAAAACAAGTTATAAAATCATCACACACTATAATATTAGTAGCAGACCTCTTTGTGGGATAGAATATTTGTGAAGTATTACAGTAAATATCAAAGATTATCTTAGAAAATTTTCCCAACTCGAAAACCTTCTGACGTCTATTAATTGTGTAGATAAAATTAAAATGATCAAAGTTGATTGTGCCTTACACTGTCAAATATCACAAAATTTGAACTGTTAATGTAAATTTTAGATAATTGCATCTTGAAGACCCTTATAGACTGACTAATTGGCATTTAATTTCAAAAGTTGCAATTCTACTTATTTCACGTTTTTTTTTTTTCATAATTTAATTATTCTATATTGATTACAAAATATTTATGGCAACACGTTGCTTTACTCAATATATTGTTCAAACTAGTTTAGTCAATCGATTACGTTCAATTTCAGTTCTGAACAAAAAATGTGTTCCTTAGTTACGGGAATTTTTGTAAATGACTAATAATTATCAAGCACTTAAATTACAGGAATAATTAAATCTCATCAATAACAAGATAATCACATGATGAAACATAATAGAGCCATATGACTTTGCGAATATTTGACAATGATCAGATCACATTTCAGCTGATTTCTTTCCTACTTTATCTCTCTCATTGAATTCGCAAAACCACATTTTAATTTCTTCTTTCCATCTCAAAATCTCAAATGAACCTTAATTGAAATGTGTAATGGAATTAAGACGAAAATAGCTCAATCGTTTAAGCAAAATATGTATTGTGAATATTTGTACTTGTTGTTATGATTACATGCTGTTGCTAATATTATTATTAAAATATCTGCTATTGCGCTATTCACATGTACAACTTTACTCTTTAATTCTCTTTCTCTCTTCTTTGTACTGTGTGTTATTCATCGACGACGTTTCACTGCCACTTATTATTATTTCATTTCAGTAAGCGGTATCGTGCATACGTTACACAGTGTTGATTTTTGTGGGCTTTCGCGCGGGGTGTTTCATTTTTTCATACCTCTTCTGTTACTGGTTTTATTTTTAATTTTTTTTTCGCAATGCAGTAATTCAATACACAGCGATTTGTTGTCTTTCGGCTCACTCACTCTCTCTCTCTCATTCACTCTAGTCTTGTTGAGTGGTAAATTGCGATATGTTTCATTATTATACTTAATATTATTATTTTGTTTTTATTTTTGTTCGTATATGTATACCACAGAAGGCAGGTGAGCGTGATTTTTATTTCGTATTTCGCTAATCGACAGAGCTTTTTGTGTTTTACATTAATATAAATACACAAAAAAAATGAAATAAAATGAAGTGAAGAGAAAAAAAATCCACGATTCGCGAATGAATAAATAATTTCGAGAGACCAGTCTGGAATTTCAAGATTTGAGCTAGCTAAGCTTCTACCATGTCAGATATGGAGTGGGGCATATGGCGACAGTATGGTAATTAAAATAGCAGCGATTCTGCTGTTGTGACGGAATGAATTCTCGTTCGACTATTTCTTTTCAACTTCTTCTCGTTCGCTGAATTTTTTGTTGTTTCATTGGAAATCGTTCGAAAATAAAATTGACTCTTTTTCTCAAAGTCCTTGAAAAGTTTATTTTAAATGTCTAGTTCTTATGTATGTGCTTATGATATTTTGCAAAAAAAAAATGTATAAATATAAACTCAGTCAGACTGCTTCATATTTAAATGAATAATTTTTAATTCAAATAAAATGGAATGCCGGAACTTCTCACCTAACACATTGCATGCGTACTACATGCATTTCTGATTTATGCGCAAAATCCATTTGATTAAGTTGACACAAATTTTTTTTACTGTTAACAATTTACAAGTCAATAGTTCTCCTCTAATGAAGATAAATCTAGTATAAATTTAACACACAAAAAACGATTGTAAATATTTTTATTTTTAATTCGAAGACATCTCGTCTCGTTAAACTGTCTGCAACAGATATACTTTCCAAATCAATAAAAAGTCATGCTTCGTCCATGATTACTTATGATTAAATCTCTTCATTTCAATGCCCTGTCTTTCTCTTTTTTATCTACTCGACTGTAATTAACGGATATCGTTAGTAAAGCAGCTACTGTTGCTATTTCATCTATATCTCATTTTTTTTCTCGATTATCAACTTATTTCATGACACTCAATTAATAAAATGAGAAAAATAAATAAAGAAAGAAAAAGAAAAATGAGAATGAAAAGAAATTTAATTTATGCGAAACTCGACCCGTGAATGACGATTTTTGGTATTGATTGACACCTGTTTCCTCTACACAACGAAACCAAAAATTGCGCTTTAATGCAGACATAGCACGTGGATTACTCATCATTATCTCTTTAAATGAGTCGTAAAAGTTCATGATTATTCATGCACGCATGCATATAAATGTATCTTGTCGTCACACTCAGTTTTTGTTGGAATTTCCTTGTGACATCCGATCATAATTAAGTTATCTTTAGATACTCGAGAGTTCAACAAATCTATTAATCAAGTGTTTTAAACGTATATCCATTATATTATGCATCCAATCACAAATCAATAGAGACGACGTCTATTTTGATATTTATGACAATGGTGCTATCCACAAAGTGTTTATACGACATTTACATATTTGCATGTTAATCAGTTGGTCAAAACTTGTATTATGTCTACTTCTTCCTTCAGCAAATTTATCAAGACGAAGCTATCGCATGACAAAATAGTTAACAACAATCAGAAACCATTCAAGACGGTATCGGAACATACACATACAAAATATGCGACGGAAAAAAATCACGTCATCAGCTTTTTTAAAATTCTGTAAATTGACACAACAAGCATTTTATAAATGAAACACAAAAAATAGTCAAGCGGCTTCCTAAAAATTTATATGTGTTGATAAATGTACAAATAGTATCGCATATCAAGTCGTTAATATATATAAATTGACCTTTGATTCATTACTTGAAATTGCGAGCGAATTCATTTGAATAAAATTAACCCATAAAATCGTTTATCGTACATAAATTAATGAAAATTTATATTGTTCTTTTATATTTTCATATCTAAACAAACAAACACAAACCTACGCATGATGACAAAAGCAGATGATCCTGGTGGAACTGAAGATGAAACGCAAAATAATCATACATTAAATAATAAAATTATAACAAGTCGTACAAACGGAATTAACGTGAATTACATCAAAGCCACAAAGGACCAATTGGCTTCATCATCGCCAAATCAATCACCAATAGTAACAGGAACTACGGCTCTAATTAATAACAACAATACAACAAACGATTCAAAGTACCTGCATAAGAAATTCAAAAAATTTTGTGCCACTGTAGATAGTAATCAAACAAATCATAATTTTAATTGTAGTAATAATAACATTAGCCATAATAGCACTATCGTCGTAAATAATACAATTGGAACATCAGCAAGTTTATCGACAAGCAGCAGTAGTTCTATTGCTGTCGCCGGATTATTAAATAATAATAATAACAGTGAAATAGTAGAGAATAAGAACAGTTGGATATCGACAGAGGAAGTAGCAATAGAACAACATCCAGAGGATACAAGTCTAAGAAACTATCACCAACACAATCATCACCAGCACCCGCACCACAATACAAATAATAATCAATTTCAATCAGTGCCATTATCACCAACGCCCAAACATCTTCAAACGACAGAAGAAGAGAAGCAACTTGTGAAAGATATCATTGATATTAATAATGAGAATTTTATACATCAGAGTGCCAATCGTTCGTTGAGCCTTCAGAATCCATCAAGCTTTCTGATAACGAATTCGACTAGTGGTGGTTCCCTCGTGACAGTTACGACACTTGGTAATCATAATAGTAATTTTCAAGCTGGCGATATACGACATAAATCAAATACGACAAGTCAACAGCAAGAACCTGCAACAATTTCATACGCCAATAATCATCAAACACACAACGGTAATTTTGTGATCATCAATAATCAATTATCAGTAGATTATAGTCATCAACAGCCATCGACTGGTTCAAATACGACTACTACAAGTGTGCCAACGACAACAAATCAAGGTCCTGGTCGATATATTTGCCCATATTGTCAACTCAATTGTGCCAAGCCATCAGTGCTGCAGAAACACATACGTGCTCATACAAACGAGCGTCCATTTCCTTGTAATTCCTGTGGATTTGCATTTAAAACAAAGAGCAATCTTTACAAACATTGCCGGTAAGTGTCTATGCATTAAGATTTAAATATATAAGTTGACATATCGATGAATGACATAAAATGATACAATTTGCAATGACATCGAACTTCGATTCGTTATATCTTTATTTCTGTGTCTCGAAATTGTTTCGTAGTTGTTCTTTTCTTTAATATGTATACATGTACTAAAGATAGCTTGCTAAATAGATAGAGAAAAATATATAATTGAATCATTTTTTTAATTGAATTCTGATGGCGCCTTATGTCTGCTTATTGTGTCATTCAGTCAGTTCGTCTTAAATGCACTCGCCGTAAGAAGAAGAAGACGTTGCATTTGAATAAATTCCTTTCTATTATATTATTGTACTTATAATTACAATTTTAAATTAGATCTCGTGCACACATTCAACGTTGTAACGGAGAGACAGACCCGAATAGTGCCCTCCTTAGTCAGCAAAACGAAGAAGACGGCTGTTCCTTAGAATCTGGTGATATTGATGAAACAGAGAACTTAAGTCAAACCGAAAGTGTAAGTTTAAAGTGTCTTTTAAAATTAAGTGACGTAATGAACAAAGGAACAGGTTTCAGACATTCCTAAGAGATTAAATTATATTTTAAAAAAAAGTTTAAATGCCCGAAAACCGTTGCTTAAATTAAGTAGTTCAGACGAAGTATTCAGACTTTAAGCATTTTATAAAATAAAAACTTGTTTCTATTTGCACAGATGAATCGATTGTCATCTCCATCGATGATGATGGAAAGTCAGATGAATGGAAATTTTGGTGAGAATTCGTCGTCGTCATCATCAAATTCCTCTTCAATTCCATATCCAGCGAATTCATCCAGTGATACTACTTTAAATAAACCCTACAAACCTAAATTTCATAATTATAAGAAACTGGATTTGACAAAAGCCAGTACTCTTGTTATGCCATCAACAGCAGCTCCAATTTCACAAACAAACTCAAGTACACCATCTACGCCATCAACACCATCGTTTTTCAGTGCTAATGCTGGAAATTTGGTGAGTTTTTTATTACATTAGAGATTATTCGTTTCTCAAATAACTAAAAATATCATTATTTGCTTGCTATTTGCACTTGTAGACACCCCAAATTATCGAGGAACGTATCAGTAGAATTATAAGTGATAATGAAGCTATTATTGATAATGTTGAAGCATTGCTTCAGAAAAAATATCACAAGATAACAGGTATTCAACGAAATTTATCAACAACGGCTACGTCAAGCATCAATACTATTGTAACGACATCAGTCTCGACAACAACAAGTGAACCTCATGCTAATTCCAATTCAAAATTGGCGCTTGCTTTACTCAAACAACAGCAACAACAAAAGCAACATGATGAGGAAATTTTGAGATATCAAATGTCTACACCACAGCCATTAAACTTGATTAAGATTCAGGAGCCACTAAGTGTCGATGTCACAATGCATAGTCCACAAACACCAAGGAAAAGGTTTCTTAGTGAAAATGCCGCACCACTTGTAATAACATCGAATCAACAAGAAATTGGTGAGAAACAACAAATTTTACAACAGCAACAGCCAACACAACTTGTTATTCCGACAAGTCATCCGCAAAATCCCGAAGGATCAATTATCAAAGATTTATTGCTCAATTCAAAGAATTTTGGTGCAATAGACGGCGATGGAGGTGATGGAACTTATTCATGCCCGACTTGCAAAATTTCTTTCCGTGGAGCCGACATACTTAAATATCATTTGATTTGTCATTGTGGTGATGAAAATATCATTTCACGTTCGGCGCCAATGAGTCCATCGAGCAATGCCACAATGTCTCCTTACTATAAAAATTCACCGTCAAGTTTAAGTAGTCTTGCTCAAACACAATTGAAATCGTTTGCATCTAGTAATACATGTAATCCATCAAGCTTAAAGAAGCTTGCGAGATCACAGTTGAAGGCACCAAAACCAAAACCAGAAAATATCATCATTAGTCCTACAATATCTGCCATAAAACCCACAGCTATAAATAGTCAACATTTAATTAAGAATCCATTGCCATCACCAGGTCCTTTACTTGGTAACACAAGACTTGTTGATAATAAGAGAACAGAAGATGATTATAGTTCACTTATAAAGAAGCAGAGACTTGAATTTTCACATTCAAATGAGAAAAAGATGTCTCCATTTTTTGATGTTAAATTTATGCATGATAAGATGACGCCATCAAAGAATTTTCCTTCGGGTGGAAGTTTTATTGCTCTTGAATCTGTAGAGAATCAGCCAGATGTGATTCCAGACAATAGTACTAATCTAATGCGACAAGGATTGTCTGGAGGCAATATTCTAGAGGTGCCAATAAAGAAAGAATCCTCCTTTCATGATCCTCCTCCAATCACACCGAAAATGATTGTAACTATCACGCCAACTTTAGCACCAACATTGACAACTAATTCAATGTTTACTAGCACTAAGAATCATTTCCAATTTCCACCGCAAGTAACTGTCTATAATGCATTAACATTACCTCTTTTATCATCACACCAACATCAACAATCACAAGCTCATCAACAAGGAACTCCAGGAACTATTGTGCATGGTGGTAGAATAATTCCATACGTCCCAGGAATTCCAGGTCCAAATACAATGAATATTGTGAATAAAAATGATTTACCTCCTCCCCCAGTTCCAATTAAACAAGATAAAAGATTAAATTCTCCATCTATGAAGCAGAATGGATTAATTTCATTACCACCACCGAGAGACATTTCTCCAAGCACAGTTATGCCTCGACCAAATGGTGTTATTCTTTCCAAGAAGAAATCATTTAATTTTGCAAGAATTGCTGATAATATTGACGCCGCAAATCGTGGAAGAAAGTCACCAGAATTTAATTCAGAATGTCAAGAAGAATTAGCACCACCTCCAGAGCAAAAAATGTTAAAACCTGCATTTTTACGTCCAACAACTTTGCCTTTGAAACCGGGAACTTTTACTCCAAAGCAGCATCACGGAATCACTCCAACAGCAAATACATTACCTTTAATTTCTCCAGAAACACCTCGTCCATCAAAATCATGTGTACAACTTTATCTTAATGGACATGCCTACACATATTTGGGATTAAAGTCGAGTACAAAGCCATTCTATTGTACTGTAAATAAGCCACAACCTACTTATATACAAAATCAATACAAATTGTCTATGTATAGCAATTGGCAAATTTACACTGGAAATAATCCAAATATTTTTGACCTGTCACCTTATGCTGCTATGGGACTCTACGATTCCCGTCAGAGACCACCAAAGTTTTCTATTGCTGAAAGTGAAAAGGAAATTGTGAAATTAGTTGAGATGCAAAGTACAAAGGTTACAGTATCTGTAGCACCCACAAATTATCAAGTTCAACATGTCACAATAAAAGAAGAGCAATCACCAAATAATACATCGACCCCAGTTGCTCCAAATCCCTCACAAAGTGCTTCAAGCTATGAAAACAATGAGGAGTATACGTACATACGTGGTCGAGGCCGAGGAAAATATATTTGTCAGGAATGCGGTATTAGATGTAAAAAACCGTCGATGTTGAAAAAACATATAAGAACACACACTGACTTACGGCCCTACACATGCTCATACTGTGAATTTAGGTACGTACTTAACTCGTATATGTTTTTGAAAGATTGTTATTGATTTTAATCGTTTCTTTATAGCTTCAAGACTAAAGGAAATCTTACAAAGCACATGAAATCGAAAGCACATTACAAGAAATGTTCAGAATTGGGTTTAAGTCCGATTCCTACAGTTCCTGATGATGACGCAAATGAAAACGATGATAATATTAGCGATAAGACTAGACGAATGATTATGAATGGAAGAGAAAATGATATGAGTAGTCGATGCGATTCAGAAACCGAAGATGTTGACACTGATGATGATATGGATGATGAGTCTGATGGTAAGCTCTTAGTAACTTTTTATTCAACCATTGAAATTTATTTTCAAATATTTTACAGAATCTGATGAGTCAAAGAACAGAATGCCAGAGCATGAAGCAGCACAATTGTTGCTTTCATTGTCAAGTCAAACAACCAGTAATACGAGACCACCGTCCGCAAGTCATACACCAATACCTCAACATCCTCAGCAGCAGCACCTTATTCAAATACCTCAAAATATTGAAAACTGGTTGGAAAAATCTTCAATGGCTACAGAAATGATTCCAAGGAGTCGAATAATATTCACAAACACAATAAAAACCGGAGATTTCGATCTTCTGAATCATGGAAAGTACTATCCTAATCCTTCAATAAGTCGTCCTAAAGAATTGCTTCGTCCAATCATTCAAGAAACAACTCATGACGATAACGATGCAATGCCAATGGATTTAACAAAAAAGCCTTCACCAAAATTTGAAAATCATCATTATTATCAAAGACCTTTAATGGTGCATGCATCTGATGTGATCTCTAAAATTTCCGATCCTGCTCTTCTCAACCAACTTGTCTCAAATACTGATAAAATGACAATAAGCCAAATCGGATCAAATGTGAATTTCACAGATGCTGTTCAATACGGTGAAAGTTTTCTTCCACAAGAATATGTCACAGAGAGAGCATTGAAAGATGCAAGGATTAAGCAGATTCAACAATCTGGGAAATTCATCGACTATGGTAGCAGTCCGACAAAAGAGCGTGACATTAATACTTTAAACGATGATGAAAATTCAATTTTTATCATTAAACCCACTCAAATGCCGTCTTTGCAAAATAAAAATGCTAATAATGTCAGTAACAATAATAGTGGAATGATGGATGCATTGGCTGATCTTGCTGCAAAATCCGATAAATTGGAGATCAAAATACAGTCAAATGTTGGTGATGAACCATCATCAAAAGCTAAGAATGTTGCATCCGAATACCTCAAACTAACACAACAAAAATTGCAACGTTCTGTGGATGATCAAGGTGATAATGGAAGTGATCAAGAAGGTCAAGAGTCTCAGACAATTTTATTAACACCTCAAACAATTGTTGTTGGCGAAGATGGATTTCATAAAAAGGCATCAAATTCTAATAATATGTTTGGGAATGATCCTCTCCTCTATTCGCACCTTCAAGACGATTCAGGACGACCAGTTTGTGTTGTTTGTTCGAAGGTTTTCCAAAAAGCTAGTCAGCTTAAGATTCATATGAATATTCATTACATGGAAAGAAAGTACAGGTGTGAGGCATGTGGTGTAAGCTTCAGAACACAAGGGCATTTACAGAAACATGAGAGATCAGTAAGTCATCAGAACAAAGTAAATATGTCTTCGACATTCGGAGTTCCAAGTGTCTCAAATCCACGTCCATTTAAATGTAAGGATTGCAAAATTGCATTTAGAATTCATGGACATTTGGCAAAGCATTTAAGAAGTAAAATGCATGTATTGAAATTGGAATGTCTCCAGAAACTGCCATTTGGTACTTATGCTGAAATGGAACGAGCTGGTTTTAATCTCACAGATATCGATACAAGTGACTGTGATAATTCTTTGATGAGCCTTCGAGCACTTGCAAAGAAACTAAATGAAAAAGATCCATCGAAATTGGGTCCCCTTCCGCCACTTTCAAATGACGATTCAATTGACTGTGATGAGAGTGGAATGAATGAAAATTATGATAGCGATTCAAGTGACCAAGGTATCATCTTACCAAATAGCATGTCAAATGATGATGATGGCCATTTAATTAAACGAAAATTAACTGATGATTATGACTCGGAGGTAATGAAGAGAATTAAGCTAACAGCAAATTTAGAAAGTAATTTACAGCATGTGCCATCAACAAACATTGATAATTCTCTTCATGACGACGAGAAATCACAAATGACATGTGCCAAAAACTAATTGAAATGAGAATAAGAAACACATAAACTTCAAACATATCGGAAGACATAAAAATTTAAATAGTCATCTAATCAATAGGAATCGAATGACGATTCATCCAAAATATTGAGTACATTTTTTCTAAGGATTATCCTTTCAGTTATTAGAAAGAACCAATTTTTAAGCCATTATGGAAAGTTTTTCTATACATTGTAAAAAAAAACAAAAATTTGCAGATAAAGTCAAGAGGAGAAGATCAGTTTAAATTTCATGTCTAAGCCTTATTTGAATTAAATTATTTTTGGTTGAATTCTAAAATTCACAAATTTTGGTGTATATTTGAGAAACTGTTCAAGGGGGTGTGGTATTAATTTCTTTAGGAACTGACAATTTTCGATAGGTAGTTGAAATTTTTTATCTCAGAAGACCTCAGCAATTTTATAAGTTTTGAAGAAAAAAAACCTCTTTCAATCTTGGAAAAGTTCCTTACTTGACAACAAAAATGTTTTGTTTTTTAATTGTAAAATATTCGGACTAGCCATAAAGATTCAAATTCTTCTCCTCCCCTTGATTTAAACCATAAAAAAAAAAATAAAATAATAGTCTATAGAAGTTAAATCAATCGAAATGTGAGAGAATTTTAGAAATTTTCGATTGATTTGATTTTTAAAAGTTTTAAAGAAATACGTAAAAAAAATAATAAAATATCAAAGATTGAATGACTAAATATCAAGAACTAAGATACAGAAGATTTCATTTTTCGATAAAGATTTTTTATAGACACGACAACATATCAAATTGATACAAAACGAAAGAGAAATAATGAACCTTTAAGAAAATTTTTTATGAGTTTTATGCAACCGAAAAGAAAAATATAATTAATAGTCTTCCATAATAAGCCATTTCTATTCATTTTAGCTTATTAGACACGAGATCAGCTTTTATCTTATGAATTAGTTTAGTTTTAATTACTGCATGAGTTTTGGTTACTTGAACCAAATTGGGAAAAATTACTTGTGTTAAATGCAATTTTCTTTTAAGTCAATCTACAACTAATATTAATTTTAGTAGAAACATTTTGCTGTGGGCTCCTTTTTATTGAATTAACCATAAACTATCGTAAAAAGATGAAAAAAAAGTTTTATGATATAAAAAGGAAGAATTTCTTTTAATTTAATTTTAAAAATCAAAAAAAATATGTACATAAATATGAATTATATTATACATATAAGTTTATTAATCTTAAGTTTTTAACTATATATTTAAAAAAAAAGTGAAACATGCATCTGATGATGAAAGAATTAATTTTTACTTTAAAAGTAAAATAAAATTTGAAAAATTTATGGAAAAAAAATCTATATTTGCATTATTTTTTTATGAATCTTGATTTACAGGCTACGTCTACCTGTAACCACTCGATAGGAGGACAAATGAAAATTCAACAATTTTTAACCATTTGACAAAACCCGAGTCAACTTCGAGCTCTGGGATGGGGAGATATCAGTTCAATCCAAGTTTCAGGAAGGAATAATCCTTAAAGTCAAACATTCAAAGAATTCTTAAGGGGCCGTTCACTTATTACGTTACGAAAAAAAAAGACTTTTTTCACCCCCCCTCCCCCTTGTTTTGAATTTGAATTTGAATTTATTCATTATTTTCCTTCGTCCATCGAAAAAGCTCCCTAAAACAGTACTTAAACTGTTTGAAGGAGCGCAAAAAACCTTGGAGGAATTACAATTACATTTTATTAAAAAAAACCCATACTGGTTGGTTACAATATGTTACAACTCACAACCCCCCCCCCCCCCCCCCCCCCTACCCTCTGAAAGTTCATAATTTATTTTATCATTAAAAAGGTGAAAAATTTAAAAAAATGTTTTACTTATGAATTTGTAAACAAATTTTTTTCGTGAACTTCTTTTTGAGACAGACGACAGTTAGAACGTTACATACTTCTTGACCCCCCCCCCCCCCATTGTTACATTTTGTTACAATTTTTCAACAACCCCCCCCTAAAATGCGAACGTACTAAGTGAACGGCTTCTAAAATAATCGGAGAAAATTCGTGTTATCTTCCTCCAGTCGAAAATTTAGTGTTTTGTACAGCCTTGATCACATACCATAAAATCTTTAAGTGTATATCAGTGATTCTCAAACTTTTCATAAAACTACAATCAGCGAGCTAGTTCTCCCAACTCAATTCTCTCAATGAAATCTTCAAATGAGCTTACATATACATCTTAGATTATATATTGATATAGCACCACCCTAATTTAGAAAAACATTAATCATAAAAAATTTAAATGAATAGCAATCAATCAAAGTGTTTCCATAATAAGATCTCAATAACCATTTTGAATTAATTTAAAATTTCCATTCATTTATGCAGAAAATTTTCGTTGAAAAATGTTTAAGTCAAATCTTTTAGTGAAAAATGTAAGGTGCATCATTCGTGGTCTTAAAAATCCACGTTGCTACTCACAGAAACCAATAAAAACGAGATTGCAGGAAAAGTTTTATGTTGTAGAAGTCAAAAACGATGTGACAAAGCTTCAAGAAACAACAGATATATTGATAATGCAGTCGTCAATAAAGGAAGTTCCAACACGAGTAACAAGACAGCATTGGGATAAACTATTTGATGCAACTTATGAGATCACGTCAATTTATCGGAACCAGTTTTGGTTGAAATTAAGAAAAATAGGAATTGACGACAAATTCATTGACAGCAAGAAGCAACAAGGTCAAGAGCTTTTAAAAAGGACGTCTGAGAAAACACCACAAAAGCTGAAAGAACTTAAAGCAGCTAGTCAAGAGCAATGGGTCCTAATAAAGGAATCTGAAAATTTTACAAAGATTAAGCAATTTCCATCTAAGACTTTAACCATAACTAAAGACATGTCATCAAAAGTAAGTCATTACTGGATAATCTTTGATAATTCGCTGTATAAAGAAAAATTGGTCCAGATTGTAAAAGTTTGCAAGAAGGGGGGTTTAGAGCTCTGTAAATTCTACAAGCACGTCATCAACGCGCCAGTAAAAAAGATTAAACATTAAAGTAAATTCCTTTGTAATTTTTCATCATTTTTATTCATTAACACACGTTCTTAGTGACTCAAAATTTCCATCATCATTAAGTGTTGTAATCTATTATCGTTTTTGGTAATACACATTATTAATAAAAAGTAGAAACAACTGGACACGATAGCATTACGTCCCTTATTATTGTAGATTTATTAATATGCGCATTTATTTTCGTGTGCGAGATCGTGAAACACTTTTTTTAAATTCCTTTCTTATTTCAGTTTTATCGTTTTGATAATAAAAAAAACTTATATGATAGTAAATAATTAATTATCTATCGCTAAATAAAAGTCGATAAAGAGGGGATGTTGCATGGAAAAACACTAAAAATGCTTGTTTTCTTTACTCTTTTGTTTTGGCATTCTCTAATTATTTTTCTCAGCCTTTTCTAAGCGTTTACTTGCAATATATCTCAGCACTCTGTTACCGCATAGGAACGTAAGAACGGAAAGTCCCAATAAATACTGAATTGTTTGGAACATGTCAAGTTTCAGCCAGAAACAGACGAAAAGTAAAAAGATAGCTCCGAGTCCACCATGAAATCCTAATGCACTCAAACTGAAACTGAAATTCGATGTGTTGATTCCAATACGTCCCCAAAGGATGAAAAGAAGAAGAATTGGTACTAAGCATAATCCAGTAAATAAGTCAGAGACGAAACGTGGTGGACGCTTTTCTGGTTCACGGAATAAATGATGAATTTCTGCACGAGGTTTTCTTGCAATTGAGTTATCAATCTTTTCCTTTCTAGTTTCAAGCGAGAACTTCAAATTAACTTGTCCGAGATTACGTGTAAATGAGTTAACTAATGAGGAATCACCGACAATCAATTCTACATCATAGATTCCTGATTTTCCACTGAAATCACCAGCTCTTGCTCCAATGTCAAGTTCAAATTTGTATGCTTTAGCAACATCTTGTTCAGCAACAAAGACAATTTCAGCTCCAGATTTATCAGAGAAACGAATGAATGCTTGATGAACGGACATGATTTTATTGGTAGAGTCATCAAACAAGTCAAAGCGAAGGCTGAGTTTTTGTTGATTGTCGAGTTGGAAAACATCTGGGAATTTACTGTACTTATCAAGCCATACCTTACTTGTTGGTGTTTGTGAATCTGCTTCAGAAATAGCCACGTCAATCTTATCAAGACGAACTTTTCCTAAAACTGTTGCAACCATATTTGTCTGTTTGAATGATCCAGCATCTATGTCAACTTTGTAAGCACCTTTAGCCAATTTCTTTGACTTGAGATCTAATTTGTAGACAGTTGAATCCTCTGATGATGGTACAAGGTTTTCTCCATCAATAGCTTTCTTATTATCACTCTTTGATGTCAACGTAAGCTTAACTGCTGCTGGTTTTTCCTTCAACGCTTCTCCAAGTAAATCACAGATTTTAATCTTCATAACTGGATCTTCTGGTGGAAGTTGGCCATTGTCGGCAATACGAATGGAAATTGGAGTGATTTTCTTATCAGCCATGATAGTACGAAGAGATTCCAATAATAAACTTGCTCCTTTTGCTTGTGTGACTGATCGTCGTGAAAGAAAGTATGAAGCGAATTTCTTTGTTTGTTCAGCTGTCAATGGAACTGCCTTATTATTATTTGATGTGACTTTTAATGCACCATTAATGACAAGAGATGTGACACTTAAACCGCCTTCAAATTGCAACAATTTTCCATCGACTTCATCTGCTTGTGCAATAGCATCTTCAACACGATCAATTACTGAACTTGCAGAACTTCCTAAATCACTAGCAACATAGAATCCATAGCCAAGAGATGTTAAAGAGTCATCCTTTTTCAAGAGTGCCAATAATTTCTTTGACAATTTCTCCTTCATAGCATCTTCTTTAAGAACCGAGGAATCGAGATATTTCTGAGCATAGAATGTATAAAATAACTCTTGTGTTGATGAAAAATCCTTATCAAGTGCTGTTTTCAATTGACTAACGAGCTCTGATGGAATCTTTTCACTGCATAATAATGTTGTGCTGGAGCCAACATAGTAATAATTCTTCTCAAAATCCTAGAAAATCATAATACAGTAATCATTAGTCTTTAACTGGATGATAGCACAAATTTACTTACGTTCAATTTTGAATCTTTATAAAGTCCTGGAAGTTTCTTACATAAACTATCCTTAGTCTCTGATGGAATTTTTTTGGAATTGATGACTGAATAATAGATGGTTTGTAAGTCACTTGACTTGATTCCATCGTTGAAAATTTGTTGCACCCTTTGAAGATCAGACTTACTCAAAAAATTATCTATAGTTCGCGTGGCACTAATGTAAGTCACTAGGACTGACAATAATCCAATTACTAAAACTGTAAATTGATAATAATGCATTAATAGATGACTTGGAAGCAAAATTGTGTAATTAATTGAAAATTTAAGATTATTTTCTTCAAATCAACAAAATGAGGTGCCGGCTGTATCTTTTATCGATTTAATGCCCTTAATTCACAGCATTTTCTATTGAAATGATATTAACTAGTTAAAGTAGATGATTATTACTCACTTGAAGGTTTCATTTATCTTTCTAGTACTTTAATTAACACGAAAATTACTAAAAGTTTAATTTTTCTCGAAAACCTCTGATGTGTCCAAAAACTAATATTAAAGTATCATCAACAAAGTTGAGTCTGCGTCAAAGGCGCTCTTTTGCGTTTTATCATTAAATCTTTAGTATAACGTTCACTTATTACGTTCGCATTTTAGGGGGGGGGGGGGGGGGGGGTTGAAAAATTGTAACCAAATGTAACATAGGGGGGGGGGGGGGGGTGTCAAGAAGTATGTAACGTTCAAACTGTCGTCTAAATTTTCCACCTTTTTAATGATTTACAAATGTCCAGATCTCTTTTGATAGCTAAGCAATACATAGTTTTTGTTATATAAAGTAACAAATCAATAGAAAACTGGTTTACAAGACTTTAAAATACAATCATAATTTGTAGAAATTTTCAAAATTAAATCAATCATAAGTTTAAAAGTAAATCTCTCTAAATCTGTCATTCATATGATGATTAATATGATCCCATCATTGTGATATTTACATTCAAAGTTGATCGAAGTCGGGCATAATATTTTTGAATTTTCTTCAAGTGGGGTGAAGTTGTAACATATTGTAACAAGGGGGGGGGGGGGGGTGAGTTGTAACATATTGTAACAAGGGGGGGGGGGGGGTATAAAAAGTCGTTTTCTTGTGTAACGTAATAAGTGAACGGCCCCATTCTAAACTTCAAGTTTAATAAAATAACAGAGTATGAATTAGCTGTAAAAAATAACGGTTTTAATAAACTCAAAAAATGTTTGAAAACCTTACAACAGCAAAAACATGATTTAAGCACCCACTTTCACAAAACTTCTCAGGATAATACTTCCTTTGTTTAAACTGTCAAAAATCCTAGCAACTCCATAACCCGCCTACCTTAAATGCTTGACATCATAATTTGAATTGTTCTGTTATTTCCAATCAGACAGAGTTCAGTGATATTATCATGCCATGCCTGAAAATTAAGCTAAAAAACGAATCGGTTAAGGTTATTTGAATTTTTCAAAACCGTTGATATTCAAAAATGATTCCCGTATTTTCAACGGTCGAATTTCTAATTAACATGTGGTTGTAAATTATTAACGAAAAATGTTTTTATTTTCTGAAATTCGCATAGACAATTTAAAAGACTAGACAATTGAGTTCATCTCAAGTTCTTCTGAAATTTTATTCAAGATTATCTCCTAAAATTAAAAAATACTTTATGAAATAGATACACATTAATATGAAGGGAGAAAAAATTATGTTTTTAAGACATATTCAAAACTAGATAAATTAAATATGTAATCTATATCTCCGGTTAAGAAAAAAAAAACATGATTAATTAAATTAAGGAGAAAGAAAGAATTTTTAATAATAAAAATCATTAAGATTAAATTAATTAATTAATAACTATTGTATTGATCTTTCCTGCATTTTCACGTTTTAATAATGATTCTTTTCAGAAGCCAAAGTCCATGGAACTTGCTAGCTAGCTCAACAACTTGGACCTCGGATATTTTTTCAAATTTAGTTCTTTTTACCTAACGAAAGTTTAAATAATTTTAAAGTTTTATTCCTCTTTTTACAATTCAATCCATTCCATACCGTCCTTAAAAATTTGACATCGCATAAAAATTTCTATATAGTTTAAGTCCTCAAGTATTTACACAATTTTATATAATATTACTTCTTCTTCTTCATCATCTATTTAATTACTTATTATTGTTGTAATAATTTTAGTTCTTTATTTTTATATTTTGTGTATATTTTCATATTTTTTTTTCTTTGAATGTGTGGAAAGCTTTTGTAGTAGCTACATATCTTTTTAGTATTTCCTTTTTTTTAAAAAAAAAATGAATGTGATTAATAAAAATGAAAATTCACAGTTTAAGGGAAAGAGAAATAAAGTATCTGAGTACATTACTACTACAGCATATCCAGTTCACTTAGTTGTTACATTCTGTTGGTTATTTCTTTCAGTTTAACGAGAAAAGGAGTAAAATAATTGTAAAAACTAGTTCTTATCATTCATAGGCTGCCAAAAAACAGGATGACGATGGATCTAATGATGTTGTATACTATGCTTGAACTCAATCTGCAAAATAAATAATTCATAAGTTATTGATGTCTTTCCATAAAAAAAAACAAAAAAACAAAAGAGTATCAAAACTTACCGATAACGTGGCTTTCAATATCATTCATTCTCTTTGCAGGTTGTGGAATTATTGTGATTTCATCGTTAATTTTAAGGGGTTTAAGGAGAGAGTCACCACTTCGAGATGTTGAACTTGATGTGGATGTTGCGGATTTGGCCTTATTATCTTTCTTTGCAACAGTACTGTGAGCAGAATAGACGTGATTCTCAAATAGTTTATACATGCCAAATGTTGCCGTACAAACAGTACACTTATATGATAAATGGGCGGGCTTTAGTGTCATATTGTGATCACGTGAAACATGATTAAGAAGTTTCCATTGAAAGACCTAGAATAATAATAATAATAATAATGCAAACACATCAGTAAATAAATTATCACCAAAAAGTGGCTTTCGATTTATTACCTTTCCACAAACGGGACATCGACCAGAATCTTTTCCATTGTTGGCTGCTTCTTGCATAGAGCTTGTGACAAGTCCGTGCGAACCCAGCAAATGACGTTCAAGACCTTGATCTGTGAAGAAACGATACTGACATTTTTGGCAATTCAATGGTGGTCTATTGTATATCATTTTCGGATGAATCTGTTAAAAATAAAGAAGGTATATCATTAGCATGCTTAGTTATTCAACCAAAAAAAAGCTCCTATAACTGTGAAACAGTTTGCTTACCTTCACTTTATGAATCCACTGCATGTGATTACGCAATTGATCCAAATCTTTAATATATCCATCACAAATTTCGCATATGACAAACTGCGGCTTTCCACCACTTGGACTTTGGCCAGGTTTCATTCCAGCAGCTTGCTGTTGCTGTTGTTGTCTTGGTAATGGTGTTATTGAAATGCTCGGCGTTGATCCACTTGATTTTGTAGATTTTGGAGTAGTCGAAGCTGCTGCATTTGTCAAGGAAGATAAGAATGATGAGCTTGCTGCTGCTGCAGCGGCTGCAGGATTTAACATTGCCAGTTTCTGAGCCTAGAATGAATGAAAAGTTAATATAAAGTTCTTTACCAATATGCAATAAATCTGAAAGAAGTGATTATCGAAACTCACAACAACCTGCTGAAGGAACTGAGTGTTTGCGGCTGCCAATGTAGCAGCAGCAAGTTGATAATTGTTTGAAAGCATGCTTGGATTGAAATTCTTAAACTGATTATTTCGCATTGAATTTGCGTTGAGTTGAGGTTTCTGAATATTTTGACCGACTCTTTGACGACCTTTCATGTTAGTGCTATTGATAGACGTATTGTTGCGTTGTAATGCACTAATATTAGCAGCGACAGCATTTGCTTGAGCAGCTCTTTGTTGTTGTTGCGCAGCCATTGCCTTTAAAATAGAAAAGTAAGAGATAGAGAAATAAGGAACGATAAGTGAAAAAATATTTCTACCTGATAAGCAGTTGCGGCTCCGACTAAGCCATGTTTGGCCTTAATTCTTGGAATTTTAGCTGGAGGTTCCCAATCAAGAGGCGGGTTCAGATTCATGTCTGGCTTGTATTTCTTAACGCATGCAGCTTCATGTCGAATCATTTTGGATTTACCATTATCCTCGAATGGACAGTTGGGGCACAAATGGTAGCTGAATGGTTTCTCAAGACGACCTTTAATGTTATGAATTGCTTCCATATGATATAAAATGTCATGTACGGGCCTTGCTTCATATTCGCAATAATTACATTTGTAGACATTATTTTTTTGATGTGGAATTTCGTAGTGCATTGAGAGAACTAATTCGGACTCAGTTTTGAATGGACAAGACTCGCAACGCTTCATCTTATGCTTGAATGGTGCATTATTCTCCTTTGACATCTCTAAGCTCTTTTGCAATGAATTGATTGCCATTTGTGTGGCTGTTGATGGAGCTTTACCTTCCTTTTCACGTTTCTTTTTTTGTTGTCGTAATAAATCACTTTGTACATATTCTTGTACCAAATTTATACCAATTGTCATAAAGAACTTGCCCAAAGGACTCTCGAAATATGAATCACTCTTTGAATCGCCACCAATTCCCATATTATCTGAGCTGATAATGTGTGTTTTAATTGATTCAATGTCAGCATGAGATTCTTTAATTAGCACCTTTGTTCTCTTTTCACTATCTGAAGCTTCATCGTCTGTTGATGTGTTATATTCATCCCAAGATTCATCACCAGTTGTTGCACCACGTTTTGGTCTGCCTCCTTTATTCTTAGTTGGCTTTACTTTTTCTTCATCCTCAGAACTATCGCCCGATTTTTGATTTGATTCCGAATCAACTCCCATTAATTCGTCTTGTAACGATTTCTTATCATTTTTCAACTTGTCTGGTGATATAGTCTTTCCAATTTCACTTACAATTTCCTTTAAACTAGTCGATGGTGGTTTTTCATAAATATATGGAACAATAAATGAGGGAGCTTCCAAAACAAACATATCGTCAGTGAGATTCGGAAGTAATGTCGTTGAATTGGAAGCAGATGCTTGAGCAGCTTGGGTTGCAAATGGATTAAGAAGTGATGTACTTGATTTCGTTGTTAAATTAAGTGCTTGCGAACTTCCCGAGCTTGAACGACTATTTGTAGACAAATTTACAGGATAACTTGACGAGGCAGATGATGAAGACGATGGCCGACTTAAATCAACACTAGTTATTGTCGTACCACTAAGTTTAATCCTTTTTGCTGGATTATCAACTTCTAATGGATCCTCTACAATCTCCTCTATATCATCATCGAAATCTGTTACAGATTGTAAATTACTTTTACGTGGACGTCGAGGCGATGACTTTTCACTGGTTGCTGCTGATCCTTTCTTACTCTCATCATCTATCATTATACAGTCATCTTTCTCATCCGAATCGGAATGAATGCTTACTGGTTTATCGTCATCATCTTCAAATTCCATCCTACTTTGATTTGTGCTTGTTGCACCATTTGAAATTCCTTCACTTTCACTAACAGCAGCTGATCTTTCAGCAGAACGGAATTTCGATGTAGCCGATGAATTATCTTCTTCTGAATCCGACTCGTCTGAAGAATCAGATAATACGACAGCAGTTTCGTCACTTTGGTGATTATTTGTGATTTTATTATTTTGATCTTCTGGAAGAGCTAAAACATCCCTCTCAGAATCCATTGTACCGTCTTCACTATTATTATCAGCTGAATCTGGAATTGTTACTTCTTCTGGTTGTGATGGCATTTGATCGCCATTTAATGATTCATTGTCATCTACATCCATAACTTCCTTTGAATCGTTTTTATTCTCCTCTTTCCCATTTGTATTGTTACTATTGTTACTACTTGGCAAAACTTTTGGTTCATTTTCATTGTCTTTAATTGTTTTCTTTAAATCTGCTGCAGAATCAACCTCCATTTCCTGATCCTGCTCAACGTGATTTCCGTTTAATTCTCCATTCATTTTTATCTGCGCTGTCGGCTCGATTTCTGTTCCAACTTCTCCCATTGTGGTTAATTTATATTTAGTAGCGTTCTGTTTAAATTCTCTCTATCAATTCGACAATCTAGAAATGAGATTTATCAACAAAATAGTGGAATTAAATTTTTGAGATCCAGAAACTGACAAGAAAAACATGCAAAATATCAAATTTATTGAGAAAATCTATATGGTTTCATTAAATACCACTACACTATCTATTTAATATCAATTAAAAGTGATTAAACCTGATTTCACTAGGTGTTTTATAAGAAAAATTAATTTATTTTGGTATTAAAATTGAAAATTGTCTCTTTGAAATTTTGATTGAAATTTGAAAAATAAAAGACGGTTTCACAGATTCAAATTTGAAAAATAAAGACGGTTGAAAATTTCAAGACACGTGTGTCATTAATCCATCAAAAACAAGTATCTTTGGATTGCAGACTGACAAAAGTTTCAAAAATTTATAGTGAAAAAGTGAATGAAATGAAGAAAAAATTGTTTAAATGTATTTTTCATGGTCATCGAACTATGATTCACCCACACAAGCATGCATCATGTTCTTCTTCTTTTCCCTTACTCCCCCTTTTTTAAATGCCAAAAAATAATGTTTTTAGTCGAATCATTATAGAAGAGAAAAAAATCGATAATTTCAGGAATTTTCCTGATAAAATTTTATACACAACTTTTTCTCCTCGCCCACTTTACGCTCGACTCAAACCTTAATGCACAACTTGTGAATATAGTGGGTGGGAAATATTTTTGAGTTCTATCATCCCATACCTACCCTCATCATGGCATGTCATAACTACCCAACGAGAGGAGAAACAAGCAAAGGATTTCTTAAATCTCACCCTCACCCTTTCCGTAATAATATCTTTAGTGCCAAGTTAAGGATTTGTTATAGCTCCATACATTCACCTCCCATCAAACTTTGATACATCCATCCCATACCGAAGTTGGGTTTAGAAATTTTTATCGATTATTTTTTTCCGTTATCATCAAATTATTGAGTTTCATTAATCAAATTATGAGAATAATAAGAAGAGACAAAATGTGTCATGTATGGATTTTTGGCCAAAGTATGTCACATGCAAAAAAAATTATTTAAATGCCTTTTTTAGAACACGCCACAATCAACTTTTAAAAAATTATTATTTTATTATTTTTTATAAGTAACCCGAAAAATAGGCAGGGGCGCATTGACAGAAACGTTTTGGAAAAACAGCAACAATAATAATCTATCGAAATCATCAACCATTATAAAGCTTGCTTGCCTTATATACTTTTTTCTTGTATACATGAGTATAAATAAATTGAGGCACTCATACACACCAAAAACCAGTATATACGTCAGCATTAAGCATACACTCTCATAACTTTCCCAGAGTTGATGACTTATGGACAGACAAATGGATATACACAGAGTGGAAATTGGAAATGCAAAATTCGACTAGCCGAGCCCTTCATAATTTGATGACGGAATCATCAAAATTAATACATAAAGTAAGAGAGTAAGTAAGTACAGCAAATAAAGGTTATTGTCTCCTTTTGGCATTGATGACAAATGTTATATTTCGTCACTTTAAAATAAAACTTACATGTCATGCAACTATAATTTATGGAAAATTTTCAATTAATAGAGCACTAATGTCTACAATGCTGATAACAGTAAAGCTCAGCATAGTAATTAAAAAATCATTTTAAAACCAAGACATATATTGTAGAAAATAGACCAAGAAAGCAGTGAAATGAAGAAGAAAACTGGGAAAATATTAACAGTTACCAATGATGAGATTTCTTAAATAGCTAAATTCATCATTCAATGCTGCATCTTCTGCAGCATGACATTTTTGAAGAAATATAAAAAAAAATTTTTTAAAAATTCACATGATTAAAATTAACACCATTATGACATACGTTGTAACTAAATGAGTGAGAACACGAGAAACAGTAATTCTTACTCCTGTGAATTAAATGGACGAACGCTCTTCTATCTATCTATCTATTGCTCTCACACAAAATGGTTACAATTGTCTTAGAAAAAGCATGTATATACATGGCATGAGCCGGAGTAGGATTTGATTATTGATCGGGGCACCCTTATGAAACTTAAGCATCACATCGTCGTATCGTAAGCAAGAAGGCAGAACGTGAACATCAAAAGAGAATGTAAGAAATTGCCTCACGATGATGCCAATGGTTTCTTCTTGTTCCTCTATTCGGTTTCGGTACTTTTCACTTTACATTATGTCTATTAAAAAATACCTCTCTTCAAATCATCGAGGAGCATCATCGAGGAATGGAAAGGTTTCACCACAAAAGTTCTATATGACTGACATACATGCAGCTATAAGGGGTTCATGTTTTTTTTTTTTTTTTTTTGAACTATTCACATTGCCGGCCTTTATATTAAAATTTGCGAAGAAAAAAAGCACAAAGAATGTTAGTGACATAGAAAATTATGCAAATATGCAGAAACTTTATGTCATAATTCAACAGAATTTTTGCAATCATTCTCACTCGACTTTCGTATTTTTTTTTTATTTTGTTATTTTTGATCACATGTTGTGTATATTTTTTGATCAATGAATTACTATGAACTTAGTAGTATGACTTTCACAGCTTTATTATTCGTTGATTCTAGACATTCGACAGATTATATTGTCAGACACTTATTGACATGTTTCAATCATTAATGAAAAATATTTAATTATTTTAAAAAGTAGACTTTTTAAACGAATAAAAATAAAATTTTTATGTATCAGCTGATGGAAAGAACTGTGTATTTCGTCGTCATGTAAAAAAATACACATATAAACATCGAAATTGCATTTTTAACATGTGCTTATAGGATATGAGCCCTCTCATAGACCCCCTCACTAAGTTTGAATTAAATCGCCATATTGGATTTTTATTGAGAAAAAGTACATTTCGCCCCTTTTCGGAGCACCCATCATCCAGCGCGCAAAGCAACAACAAGAAATTTTATTTTTTTTCCTCAACTACACACACATAATTTTCTTGCCGCCAAACACCGATACTTTCACATCTTTTCTTTGTATTTCGTTTATGTACACGCCAGTGTCGTACATTCCTTCTATGTATTTTTCATCACAACTTTATGCTCAAATTTTCATTTATCTTCAATTGCTTCACAAATTCTTATAAATTTAATTAATTTTTATATTCTTTAAGAATTTCATTGGGATTTTTGGTACGCCGTCCCTGTCAAATTGTGTGTGTATTATAATATACGGCTTTCTGTCACTAATACACTCTCACTCTAACACACACATACATAGTATATGATGCATGGTTTTTCTTTTTGACAAAAAAAAATTTTAATCACTTTTAAGATTGATTTTTCACCATCAATAATATCCCCAATAATTATAAAATCAGCACATCCAATATTACCTTTTGTTTTTGAAACGATTAAAAATATTTTCATAACACTCGCGATATGATAAATGTGGAATTTATGCGAAAAAAATCTGTAGTTAGACCTGCGAGCGAGTCAACAGCCAGAATCGTACTAAAAATCGTTTATAGCAGGAAACTTTGGTACGTACAAGGGGAAAAGTGAACAAAGATGGCGTCGTTTCTGTACTTAGCTAGCGGCTCTGTATTAATTCATTCAATAATAACAACAACAATATATAGACATAAAAATTCATGAAGGGACCCTCTGCGGCTCTGCACATTAGTCGAATGGGATTATACTACTGAGAAGGATGCTTCCTTCAAGGCATTCAATTTCATATCTCTTGGATGATTTTAAAATCATAAATTTATAATTATCCTTAGCTTTTGACACACACGTGATTTAACGGATTTAAATTATGCATACCTGCAATATTTTTGATTATTATCCTGCTACCTTTTAAATTAAATTTATTGGACATTGAAACTTGTAAGATTTCTCATGTCTCATAACATGTCGTAGAATTTTGAATATGTTATGTACCAAGAGCACATGTTTCATGAAAGATCCTTTTGGAAGGAAGCATGATTTACGTTTTAAAGGATCAGTTTTAGTTTGAATTTAAAGGATTGGCATTGCTTAAATCTTTGCAGACTAATAACATTTAATAGCTAAGCAATGACATCAAAAAAGCTCATTTAAACACTTTTAAGGCATTTAAATCCTCGTCGTTTTTGACTATATGAATTTATATAGCAACATTCCAAAATGCATAATGTAAATTCAGTCAGAGGAGAATGTCGTCAAGGTATATCTCATCAGGATGACTCATAAACGCATTTTTATATCTTCATTAGCTGTAAACTGAAATTATTATTTTCAAGACTTTTTAAACATTTTTACATGCATCAAGTCAGTCGTCGATTCAGTGGGAAAATCTTGATAAATTCGTGTGGCAAAAAAAAATATTAGAAATACCAAAAATTAATTGCCAGATGAAAACTTTGCGTAGGCATAAAATTTTTCCATTCTCAACTATTTGCTCTACTTTAGTCTGTAAAACTAAGTGTTATCTGATCACATACGAAGAGTAGTAAGAAGAAGAAGAAAAGAGGAGAGAGAGAGAGAAAATTTTCATATCAACTTCCGATTTAAGACACATGTGTAGAGTATAGATGGAGTCTTACGCACAAATGAATCATAAAGCAAATAAAAAAATGAGAGATTTAAATGTGGAAACCCGAAAAATAGAACTTAACAGAAAGAAGGCAGGAGCGGATCGAGATAAATACCTAGTTACTTTCCATCATATAATTTATACATAACAGATGTTACCATCCTACACACATATTGTTCTGACATTAAAAGCACTATATATGCTTAAATTATTATAAAGACTCGTGTTCCTTAAAAATTGTCTTTATATCATTAACTAGTATCGGATGTTCTGTATTGTAAATGCGCATTAAATGATTCCCTTTCCTTAACGAAAACAATCAAGCACAAAAGATTTTGTATGTCGTATTTGATTCTGAGACTGGACATGAGACGTCGTTATTTTTCTAAAAATTTATGCAAAGAATTTTTTATGATCGGACTTTTTCTCTCTCCTTTGCGTATATCCATGGCAATCAGATTTAAAGCCACTTCTACGAAACATTTTTTAATCTCCAACGGCCTGTTTCACTAAAGTGGATTATCCTCGATTTCGGATTATCCACTTCAGTTTTTTGGAAATATCTTACACTTTATGGGAGGTGTGGTATTTATAATTTTGGATTATAATAGAGTGAAGTATGCCTGAAATTTCTGTATACTTTAAACTTTTACTTTTCGTTAAGAAGTATTCATTATTCAATTTTCTAGCCAAATCTAGTAGATTATCTTGAATCTTTGCTATAATTCTCAAACTAGTGAAGATATAAAAATTCTAAGTTTATGTTAATTTAAGTAGCAAAATACTCTAACTAGATCACACATAAGATCTCTTAATAACCTTAAGCGTGTGGAGATATTTCCAAAAAACTGAAGTGGATAATCCAAAATCGAGGATAATCCACTTTAGTGAAACAGGCCGCAAGTTTTTAGATTTTTTTGGCAACGATAATTTTATTGAAGCGAATGAGTTTTTAAATTTGCCACGTCATTTGCAATATTTTCTTTCTTGTTTCTATGCATTACATAAGTAAAATGTCTTGTCGTGTTTTTCATCTATTTCTCTTCTCTCCATTTCACTCTCCTCTTGCTAATTTTTTATTTTTTTCAATTTGAAGTTCAACCTATTTTATTTTTACATGTTCGACTTTCTGCTTGAAGCTTCTTCTTTATTTCTCTTTTTCATTTTATTATGGCTCAACGCTTGATAATGTAGCTTACATAAAGAAACTTTCTTTGTCTCTCATCTTGTCTAAATTTCAAATTTTAAGGAATTTACTTCATGTATAAATGAAAGATCCAGTGTTTTGGATGTTGAGCTTTTTTTTTTGTTCAAAGCAGCAAGCTCCAAAATTATTAAATTGATTAAATGGATTCCATAGCTCATTACATAACGCCATAACTCCAACTATTTCCTAGATAATACATAATGTGTACCCATCTATGTATATAAAATAATTTTATATACTTCATGGCAGGCACATAATGTAGAACATGAGTACCGTTTTATGAGTGTATGAGTGTATACATAGAAGTGACTGACTGTACTTTTCTATATTTAATTTTATCAAATAATTTCAGCTTAACAGACGAACTCACAAACTTACACAATTTTTTTTTTCGAGCGAGATTTGGAATTGAAAAGCAGTTACGTACTTTAACAACAATGATTTCAATGATGTTGTTCTGTATGTCTGATTTTAATTCTACTAAGCATACATGAGAATTTTTTGTTTTTTCAAAAAATTTGAAGGAAAAAAAGTTTGAGTTGGTAACTTTTTCCTTCGATAGTTGATTGACTGACTGACTACTGGCTACACAAATGATGATGAATTGCAACAACAAACTGCACAAATGACGCTTTAATTTTTTTCTTCTTCTTCCTCATATTCACTTTTATACATTGTTATTGCAATTTTGTCGAAAAAAATGCATAAAAGTGGATTCTAGCACGCTTTCATTTTATTATGAAAATAGAAACTTGCATAAAAATGATGAATAAGTTATGACTTGAAAAAAAAAGTGTATGTGATCATCATGAACATTATGAGAAATATCATAAACCATCAAAAATAAAATCCTTTGAAGATTACAAGTGTCTACCATTTTAATTCATTTAGTGTTTCTAAGCCATCAACGAGAGTCAGTCATCAACGTCATCAAAAAATCATCATCCAGAGCCGATTAAGCTTTTCTGCCATTTCAATGTGAAATAGTCCCTCGACGAACGTAAAGGAATGAATAACAAGAGCAATAAGAATGACAGAAAAGTCAGGAGCGAAATGAATGAAGAATGTGTGCCTGAAAATGTGATATCGTACCTACCTAAATCCGTACTGTTTTGCACATACATGCAAGCATCTAGCCACTCATACACACACGAAATATTGTAATAAATGAAAAATCAGCGTAATGCTGAAATTTTGTCTTGCCTGATCTCTCTTCGGGGAAACTCGATTTGTTAAGGGGAACTGATATGGCAATACTTAAATGCCATTCTTAGATACTCAATAATAGTGTCATGTAAAATGTGATTAATTGCTAATGAATTTATTTAAATAACTGATATAAAACTTTTAAGAAATTCATTATGGCTTTTTTGGTATGTCTCACATCATGACTCATTAGTGGCAAGTTTAAAAAATTTTTTTTTTGAAATATATAATTCTGATGCGTTGATTATTTCATATCGTGACACTTAATTTTTTAAGAAAATTATGAAATTCAAATAGAGCATAGAATTTTTCGAGTTTTACATGAACTTTGATCGTCGTGATCTCTTGATTAATCACGAAATGATTTTAGTGATCATGTTAGGACACGTTATATAAAAATAAGTAAGTTTATTGAGTCAGACATATGATCTTTGAACTTTAAAATATTTATAATTACAATGACCTGTTAGGAAGCTAGTAACGTAACTGCTATTATTTTTTTTTTATTTACAAAGCTTTCAAGTTATGATATTGAGTAATGCATAAGTTTTAAAGTTTTAAAAGAGGCATTCAAAAATATTACAAAATGTAAAGCAACTTGCTTTTAGTGAATTACCTAAGTGCATAAATCAAAAAAAAAAACTTTATCAATTAAGCTTTTAAAAAGGTATGAGATAAAATTTGGATTTTTATTTGTCAATTTTTTAATCATCTTCAACAAATGATAATAAATTTTTTACAGGCTTTTCCTGTTTTCTCTCCTTCTTTGGCTTTTTATCAGATTTTCCGACAGTATTGCTTGGTAATTTATCCTCATCTACTGTATCCTTTGCATCGTCCTTTTTCTTCTTAGATTTAAAGATTACTCTCTGATTAAGATCTGCTGGTTTTTCTGCCTCTTCTAGATTGTTAATTAAAGGAAATATCGCAAAGAAGAAAAATATCGTTGAAGAAAATGTTTACAGGTGGATTTTAAATGAAAATTGTTTTGTACTGTATTCCTACACAGCACATACATAAAGCAGAGTAAAATAAAGCGTGTATGTACAGAACTAACACGAGTAAGTGACATGTGCTTTCTTTAATGTGTTGAATTTGCACATTCTTTAATTTATCACTTAAATAATTCGTATTGGTCTTTAATATGATTTTTAATAAGTAGTTAAGTTATATTTTATTTTATTAAATAGTTATTAGCAAATTATTGAGATAGGTCATTGAACCTTACCTTTCGCAATTCGTATAGCTTCTTCTTCCGTCAAATCTCCTTTTTTAAGTTGTATTACTTGGGGTTTCTCGTCATCTCTTTCTTCATAATCTTCGTCTTCATCGCTACTGCCTAGATTCTGAACAGGTCCACGCTGTAAACAGAATAGAGTTCAAGATCAGTCTTGATCTGAATAAAATTAATCCTTAAGTCGTTTTCTTACTTTAGCTTCCACTGTATCTGGTTCTTGATATCCAATTTGTTGCTTCATCCTTTTTAAAAATGCAGGCTCATCTGGTTTTATAAATGCAACGTTCCTTTTTGACATTTTTTATGTGATTTGTTATAAATTATTAAATTTTAAAGTTTGTTTGTAAACATTGAGTTTTTTTGGTGTTTTGAAATAAAGTGATAAACTTTTTCTGGGAAACAGATTTAAACGCTTGAATTTTGCGCTTAATGACGGTATAATCAGTTCTATGTCTTATTTATATAATTTATAAGATCTTAAAGACATCATGCTATCATCAACTCGCTTTTATATCACTTGTAAATGCTGTAAAATTGAAGCACGTGTCTTATGGTGAGTATGAACTTAGCTTTTGTTTGCAAAACGCGATATTATTCACCAAACTTGTAGGGACTAATTTCAAAAAAAAAATCTTATCGTTAATATTATGTTGAGATTTGACCAAAAGATTTACAATTTAAAATGCTTGCGTATGATTTATACACAGTACAGATATTTATTTAGGTCCATGAACCTGTAACAAAAAACAATGAACTCCAACGAAAAATGCAATGCAACAAAATTATCATAAATTAAATGAGAACACAACTTTGTTTAATAATTTAATTGATAAATTTGATAGGTGAAACATCAAGTCTTTGAGATAGATTAGTGCATGTTTGAATTTGATTCGGGGTGTAGCGAACTCCACCGTCGGAGTCTACTTTCTTCATATGATTCTTTTCAGGATCACCAGCTAACAAAACAGGCTTTTCAGGATCGACCTGGAAAAAATTGTTGTATCAGTTAATTCCAAATTGTAATTCTTTATAATTTCACAATTCACTTACGGGTGTCAAATTTCTCAAAATGTCATTCATCTCACTCAATCGTCCTGTAAATCCAGGAGCAAAGCAACTTGGGTCAATGGCAATGAAGAATTGTCCAAGATCAGCTTCAGCATCAGATCCAAAATGTGTCCATTTTCTTACTTTATTTGAGAAAAGTGAACCACTTAAAATGCCACATAAAACCTCGATCATAGCTCCCAATCCATATCCTTTATAACCAGATGTGATTTCACTGCCACCAAGTGGAGCTAAACATGCACTCTCAAATGCAACACCGGCATCTGTTGTCAAATTTCCTTTTGAATCATGAGCCCAACCGTGAGGGATTGGCTCGCCTTTTCGTCTTTGGATTTCAATTTTGCCAACAGCTGAAAATTTGTTTCATAATTTTTTTGGAAAATTATTTGAATAATATTGATAGCCTTACCAACTGCAGTTGTGGCCATGTCAAGTACAAATGAATCGCCATTATCAGCTGGAGCAGCAAATGACAATGGATTTGTTCCTAATCCTGCTTCCATAGAACGTGTGGGTGTCATCAATGGAGAAGTATTTGTGCCACTCATTCCAATTAATCCTTCATGCATAGCACGCATTGTATACCAACCAGCAATTCCGTAATGATTAGATCCTAATAATAGATAAAAAATATAAGGCATAAGTATTTTATATGAAACGTACTCGTGTGTGATATTACTTCTTGCTGTTACGACGCCAACCCCAACTTCCTTTGCCTTCTTGATAGCAAGATCCATGCAAAAGTTTCCAACGACAGCACCCAAACCATTTTTACCTACATTTTTTTCAATCGAAAAAAAACGTTAAAATTTTGCAAATTTGCATACCTTAAATTAATTTTACCGTCGACCCATGCAGTCGCAGGTGATTCTTTGAGGACTTCTGGTATTACATTTCCATCAGTTGAGTTCTTGTGTAAGTCATTGATGTACATTTCCAAGCGATTCATTCCATGACTAAAGTGTCCGCGGTAATCTGCCTCAGCAAGTAAATCTGCCATTGCCTTTGCATTTTCTGGACTACATTTTGACTTTAAAAAGCAGTCAGTCATAAATCTACGAGTTTCCTCAATTGGGACAAGTCCGATCTCTAAAGAAACAAAAAACAAAATTATTTAGACTTGATAAAGTTTCAAAAACATTTTTGTCAATATTATTCAAATGCCCATGACTAATGACATCTGTTTTTACACGATTTTATTTCTTATCAACTTACTTTCTTCACTTATTTGTGCCATTCTGTTTACTGATGAAATGTGTAGATTTCTTACTTGAGCGATTACAATATCTGAGAAAATGTAGATAAGAGGAAATGTAAGCATGTAGTTTGCAAAGAAAATTTGAATAAGCGAGGAAGAAAATTTTTACTTTACTTCAAGCTCATAGCGTGATCTTTGAAGAATAAAAAGTTGTAGAGGCTTTCATGCTTAATGTCATAAAAGCAATTAAAAAGACTTCTTATTAATATTTTTATAGATATTGGAACCAAAATAATCTATTGAATACAAGCAGAGTCGTTAATTTTGTGGTCAATTTGCAACGAGTTGCCTAAAAATGGATAGTCAATTTTCACGCAAATGTCAATAATTTAAATCAATATAGTCAATTATGACAATTTATTGGGAGCAAGAAGACAAAGTGTGGATATTTAACATCAATTTTGTCATGAAATTAGCTCGAAAACAATTTAGTAGAGCAGCACGAAGTGATGTTTGATGAAAATTAAAACATTTATATTCAAGTGATTATCCATAAATGACGGAAAATTGAATAAGTTCTCTGTTCCCCTCTTTCACAAAATTATCATATGAGTTAAAATATTTAAAGGCTATGCAATTCAGTGCACTTATCAGTAAAATCTACACAATTCCAAATTTGATTGAAATTAAAATCACCATAAGCAAATGATCCCCAACTCAAATCGAAGAGAAAAACTGAAATAGTTAAAATATTCAAAAGCATATCACAGTCTACACAATCGAATAAATATTACACAAGCGACATCAGATCTTCTCGTTCTGTGCTTGTAAGAATGAAAGGTCATCTGGATTTATTTTTGTTTTTTATATGAAGCACATCTAAGTTCAGATTCAAGGCTTGTGAGCTGATGTTCGCATTGCATATGTTAATAAATATCACAATAATCTCGAGATGATGAGAATTCATATCCAAGGTCATTTTTGTATTATTTTTATATTTGCTATAGCAGGTAACCGGCAAATGTATTATTAATCGTCAAAAACATTCAAACATAAATAATTTTTGGTCAATTTTTTTGTGTGCAAAAACTCAAATGCCGACAGTCAGCAGGTATATCGAGTCCGAAAACACATAATTCATTATTATTTTTATCAGCTGCACAGCCAAATAATTTTTTTGTGAATATATTTTTGAATCCAAACGAGATTTTATTCTTCTTGTTCCTTTCCTTTATATTATGTACAGTAGCGCTCAAAATGATAAGGACAGCAAAATTTTTTTCACATTTTTATTAATTTTGACTCACAGGATTATCTAAATTTGCTGAAATTTGGACCAGTTATACAGTTTTAAATGTCCTTTCATACAATATATACTAATTGTACTTTAATTAAATATTTTTGAAAAAAACGGTAAAAAATCAAAATGGCTGCCGCTCAAAATGATAAGGACAGTAGATTATGTTAAGATTTTATTATATTAAGTAATATTATGGAACTTTTAAGACTTAAAACATTATGTTTGATGAATATTCTTTAAATAAATTTATAATTCACGCTTCTAGATGTAAGACTTCTTACTTAATTTTAGTGTTTAAAAATATGTGAAAATTTTGTCAATTTATGATCAATTGTCGTACAGAAACTTGTTTATTCTTTAGGTTAACTACCAAAAATTATAGATAATTTGATTATTTATCAATTTATGATCAAACATTTAGATAACTGTTAATTAATGTAATTTTTTTTCAAAAATTTTATTTTTCCTTTGCGAAATTTTTGTGAACTTAAGTCGACAATTTGAAAAAAAATTGTTAAATATTCGCAAAACAATGATTAAATTAGTTTATTTCTCTTCCATTTTAATTGTATAATAACATATATCAAGCACTTGAACCGCTTTGAAAGGATAAGTGACTAAGCAATCGTTCTCTATGAGCTTCTCAAGACGAAAAAATATGAAGAAATATTTTTTTGTAAAAATGTTAAATTTAGCACTCATAAAATACAAAATAGAGTGTTATTCGATTAAAAAAGCCAAATTTAGGTATTTTATGTTAAAACTTCACTTATGGAAATCATATTATTTTAGGTTCCAACACATTTTTCATTTTTGCCATATCAAAAAGTCTTGTTGTTGAAAGAGAACGATTGCTTAGTCACTTATCCTTTCGAAGTGGTTCAATTGCTTGATATATGTTATTAAACAATTAAAATGGAAGAGAAATATACTAATTTAAGCATTGTTTTGCGAATATTTAACAATTTTTTTTCAAATTGTCGACTTAGATTCACAAAAATTTCGCAAAGGAAAAATAAAATTTTTGAAAAAAAATTACATTAATTAACAGTTATCTAAATGTTTGATCATAAATTGATAAATAATCAAATTATCTATAATTTTTGGTAGTTAACCTAAAGAATAAACAAGTTTCTGTACGACAATTTATCATAAATTGACAAAATTTTCACATATTTTTAAACACTAAAATTAAGTAAGAAGTCTTACATCTAGAAGCGTGAATTATAAATTTATTTAAAGAATATTCATCAAACATAATGTTTTAAGTCTTAAAAGTTCCATAATATTACTTAATATAATAAAATCTTAACATAATCTACTGTCCTTATCATTTTGAGCGGCAGCCATTTTGATTTTTTACCGTTTTTTTCAAAAATATTTAATTAAAGTACAATTAGTATATATTGTATGAAAGGACATTTAAAACTGTATAACTGGTCCAAATTTCAGCAAATTTAGATAATCCTGTGAGTCAAAATTAATAAAAATGTGAAAAAAATTTTGCTGTCCTTATCATTTTGAGCGCTACTGTACATATTGAAGAAAATGTTGTGCGTGCCATTGAAATTTTTCGCAAACTGCCTCACACACATTTCTTGAGATGAATGAACAGGGAATAGGGGAGTTAAAAAAAAGGACTCGATTCTCATCTTTTTGCCTATTGCGCAATTTCTTTACATCTTTGACCTTAACTTGATTTTGAAAATATCTACGGAATGTTTGTTTATTTTTAACACAATGTGTTGTCACTTCCTGCTGCATTTTAAATTTATATTTTGGTTAATGGTTTTTAACCGATGCACACATTTCTTGATAAGAGTGATTAAGTTAAATTTTCAGTTGTGCAACTTTTATGATTAATTTGGCTTGATAACAACATCATCAAAGAGTTATCGTATTAAGTGGAAAAATACGAAATATTACTAAGAAGAACTTATTTTTAGGAGATAAGAAGTCACTCAAACAAAAATAACGAAAATGGTTTTTTTTGTGTGAAATTTTTTATGAGCAGATCTTATTAATAAAATTTTTTTTTCCTCGCACCAAATGTATGTATGCGTCTTTACCATTCGACAATCCACGAAACACTGTTGTTCTGCTCTCAACAATTGTTGATATGTGCCGTATATTTTTTGTGAGTTTGTATAATTCCCTTGATGACGAAGTGATCAAACTTTGTCGACAAAACTGTATTGACGAGCATATTCTCAGACTACTTAAACTCATTTTCTTTTTTGATAATTAATTGTATGTGCCTTAATAAAGTAGCTTTATGAATCAACTTAATAAATATTTTATTGATTGCTTTTTATGATGATATTTATTGTTACTCGTCAAAAGCACTGTTATCCACTTAATCACAGAACTGAGTTAATTATAAACATCCAGCACCTATATAAGCCACAAATATTAATTAAGTCGAGGTTACCGAATAAACTTATTATGTTTACAAACAAATCAACAGAGAATATAAGGGTAAACTTTTTTTCATTTTCAGGAAGCACTTGACTTTAAATGGAGATTTAGGGGATTAAATAATTTTAAATAGAGAGTTCATGAATCTCAAATAAGTCGCTTTGAACATTTCCAATAACAAAATATTTACCGAATTTTATTTAATTTCGTTTAAAGATGAAATATTAAATCTTAGTTATTCATTTATTTTGTATCCGGTAATATCTTGGGAACTATTTAAATCTATATGCAAATTTATTTGCAATAGTTGATCAGTTTTGCATTAAAGTCTTTCTTTAGCACGATTCAATAGCACAGATTTTAAACTACATGGACACTTAAAAAGGAAAAACAAGTTCTAGTGACACTATATGCAAGCTATAGATACCAGAAGAAATTAATAGTTTTTGATTCCCAATATCACAAATTTAATGTTTTAATTTAATTAAAAAAAAAATGAATGGATAGTGCTCAAATTCCAAGCACTAGTTACTTTCATAGTTAAAGCATGTTTGCTTGATTTTTTAAAAATATCAATGAGAGAAAAAGGAAAAGAGAGAAAATTTGAGAAAGAGAAAAAATTTGCAAGGTGCAATAAAAATGAAAAAAAAAGCGACAAAAATCACCAAGGTTGTGAAAAGGTTGTAGAAGGTTGAATGAAACTACATTTCTTCTTTCTACTTCCTTCATCAAAGTGCTAATTGAAACACAGTGGATTTCTGTCAAATATTTTGCTACACATTATTGCTACAATTCACACCTTAGTGATTGATTAGATTTCGAGCACAGACAAACGAGAATTATAAAAAAAATTATCGCATAATACTCAAGTTCGATTTAAAATACTGAAATCACAACTAGACAATTTAAGGATGGAAAATAAACTAAAGAAAATCGCAATTCATCCTGAATGGGAAAATGTGCATTTGAAGAGAGGAAAATCAATAAAAGCTAAAACGGAAAATAGGTCAAGTTTGAATTTTAATCACGTATTTGAAAATATTTTCCAGTTGTACTTTTCTGATATGACACTGAATTTTAACTAAGCGATGAGAATATTTTATTTTGAATGTTGAGATTATAACGCGTGGAAACAGACTACACACGCTTGCTTAATGTATATTTTTTGTTTTCTTCATTTCACTTGCTTATCTTCAAAACAACAAACTTTTTAGAAACACAAAAATTAACGGATAATTTTTGAGCAGCACGTGATACATAGATGTTGGCGCGCGTAAAAAAATATATTTGAACAGATATTCACTTTACTGAGACTTTAGTAACGTAAGAACGAGTTTTAAGGGTCTAATTCTTTGTTGATCAAACTTTTTCTATCGCTCGCAATTCAAAAACCGTCTAAGAGCTTTCATATTAAACATTTGTAATCGACCGCATGAAAATGAAAATAAAGAGCATTGTACAAATAAAACTAGTGAAGCAACGAATATCACAATATGAAGAAATCATATATTAAGTTAATTAAATAAGTGATAACATATTGGCAATTAATTATTCATGCGGTAATGAGATTAAATAATCGGAATTGAAATTATTCGGAATATCCCGGGGATCGCGATAATATATGAAAAGGATAAAAAAGTCTAATAAAGCCATTTTTCGATAGTAAAAAAGAAAAACTGTAGTCTTAATACTTAGTAAGCCAAGTAAAATATTATCTTTTTAAGTATCTGAAAAAAATCTTGTTTTTTGGCACGTCTTTAAGATTTTAAACATTTTTGTAAGGTCAAAAAAAGTTTTTACATATTAAAAAGCAATGAAATTAAATGTCCGGGATTTTAAATCCCGCGATAATTTGGAACCGGTATACCTTCCAGGGATATCCCGATCCCGATAGCGAGAAACTTACTTGCTTACTTCCTTGGCTGAAGCGCACGTGGGCCCATTGCCGCGCTTAGAGATCGTCTGAAGACAGCTCTATCCTCAGACACCTTTTACCAGTTCGGGATATTAAGGACTCTAGCGTCCTTTTCAACACATCCGATAGCGAGAAAGCATGTAATTAATTGGATTTCACACATTTCCAATGTATCATAAAAAATAATATTTTTTTCAGGAAAAACAATTATTTAACTCAATAAAAGAATCATCCAAACACGAAAAGTTCACATTTCAAAAATTGAACCACGAAAATTTCAAATTTCACTTTTACCGTCTTAGTATTCCTTTATCGAAAACTTCAGTGAGACAACAGATGAAAAAAAATAAATTGGTGCAGTTCTGAAGTTTTTGTAGCTGGAAAATTGTAAGCACTGTAAGATCCGAAAAAAAAATCGGGCAGGACGGTGGGATGTTTTCTCATTTCTTATGCGTAAAAATGACTTTAAGTTTGGTTAAAATTTTTTACTTTAATTCTCATTTTTCTCATCTTCTTGTACCATACTTTTTATCTTGTACCATTGGAAGTATCGACCATGGACATTCATGTTGCTCACTTGATGGCGTCACACACCATCGAACTCTGTCGTCAAAATTTTTAATGTCGGTATCGGCTTTGGTTGTTTGAACAAATTGATGATTCCTTTTACTTTTAGAACTGTTCAGTCCTTACTGTTTACTTTAATTTGCGATTCATTGAAATCCTTTAAAAAAATGTGAAGCTTATTTTCTCAAAGGATCCCTCAATTTCCTTCCGAGTATGATATTTGTTGTTTCATCATGCTCAGTTTTAATCAATCTTTTCAGTCTTTGATTACTTCTTTGCATTTATTACTATATCGAATATATCATATTTGACATTCCGGCGTTTTTGTACGTATATTTGAATTCCCTCATCTTGTTTTTGAATTTTGTGTACTCTAACTGATGATATTATTGCCACCCAAGGAATCAGGACTGGATATTGGATTTTCTTTGCTGGATTCGTTCAATTCGTCTAATGAGGATGTCCATACTTTGTTTTATCTGCTGTTGTTTTGCTTGCAGCTTTTGTAGATTTGAATGGTTTGATATTTGCTCCATCTTTTATAGTGGAATTTGTAATATTGTCAGATGGGTCTGCCTTGTTGAAGAGCTTGTCTAACTCCGGTTCGTTCGTTAGAATGAAGTTTATTCAGTTGATGCATCTTACTGTGCTGTATATGTTTTTGCTTCACCTGAATGAATATCTTGTTTAATTTTGCTGTAGTTTTCTATGTGTCCTTGTTGTTCAAAAGCACGAGATCTTTTTTTGGAGTGCTTCTACGTCGCTTATAAGTTCTTCTGGAACTTTATTAAGTTAAGTGATGCCTTTCATCTCAATTTTTGTCGGAGAATACTTCGGATGCAATTCCCATTTTCCGCAATTGCTTAGCTGCAAGTTCCTTTATGAGTACTTGATCTTGCAAAGTTGCTAAGTACAGGCTATGAATTTATATTTTACCGTTTCAACCAAAACTTGAAGTGTGCTTGAAAATATACTTTCACTCTGAATATTTTGTTTCTGGATTTGCACGGTGAATTTAGTTGCCATTTTTTGAAGGCTGCAATAGATGCAATAGATGCCTATTCTTCGTGGCGATTAATTTCATCATGGATTGTAGTGCTTTACATTTTGAGCAATTCGATTTTTATTTTCCTTTTGTACAATTGTACTCATCTTGATGTTTTTCAAATCACAAACGTTGTTTCCTTATTCAAGAAATGCTCAAACTGTTACATGATCGATAGAATTTGTTGTTCCTTCTGGTAACCTCTATCTGGATCTATTTTTTTTTTCGTCAAACTGTCCCACCAATTGAGTTTTACACTGCAGTTTTTTAAATTTCGTTTGGTCTGTTGATATTTTTCGCTGTCCTTGTGTTTCGTGCTTACGTTCATTGCTATATTTGGTGTTCAGCATACACAAGCCATTTTGGGATGAATTTCCAGACAACATTATTCCTTTGAATTCTAGTAGGAATTTACGTACAAGATGATTTTTTGATATATTAAAAACCTTGAGCTTGATCATTCCTATGCATTTCCACACAATCAAGGATGCTGTCGTTGAAGTCAGTTCATTTTAGATAAGTCAATTGAACTTATCAGTTCTCTTCCTAATATCGTAGTAAAAATTCTCACTTCGATATTTAATTTGATAAGATTATTTAAAGAAAATTTGATAAGATTGTTTCTCAATGCTTGCGTATTGTTCGTTATCTGGTTAAATTCCTCGGACATATTGTCATTTTAGGTGGCATAAATTTGCATTTAAGTTGCTAAATATTGCTGAGCTTGGTTAAGATTTATTTTTTGAGATAATTATTGAAAACATTTTGAGAATTATGTCATTTTGAAAATTACCATGTTTTTGATATCTTGATTTCATTGTTGGCACTGCTTCACATTTTACATTTGCTACCAGAATCTATTATAGCTTTGACGGTCTTCAAATTGTTATCTCTGTCACTAATCAATATTTTCATCTCAGCTTCAGTTTTTGACCCGCTGTTTTGCTGTTCTTCATTGCTCCTATATTAATCCCTCTTCAGTGAATTCGCGCTGATTTCGCCTATTGAGACATGATTTAATTTAATTTTGTCAAGTTTGTAACTTGCTCTGACATTCTTTCAGTGTGTTTGTTTCATATGATGTATTTTCATTATCAGTTAAATCGATATCTGTTTGCACACGGTAAGTGCCACTTCTTGGAATCATTTTCAATAAATAAATCCATGATGCAATTGCTTTATTTTCATGACGGTTTTTAAGGTTTCGACAAATTTTGCCTGTGATAATGGAATACACATTATCAATACTATTATGATGTTGACGAGCGATAGCTTGCTGTAGAT